GTTAAGGCTCCAATTTTTACCAAAAAAATATTTTTAAAGCGTTCTCTTCGTAAAGCCATGAAATTTCCAATGACCAACGTTACAGCTGAGATTCTGTTACACGTTGGACGGAATCGAATATAGTTCACAACACAACTTTCACATACATAAATATATAACAATTGATCAACGTTTATAACTCTTGAACAAACGAGAAAGAAACTTCAACACGACGAGATTCTTCACTTGGTATCCCGTCAACGTTCCTTTTCGATAGAGAAATGCGGTCTTCCCATGTCCTCCTCAGGTATCAGAGGAATGTACCTCGTCCTAGGATCCTTCTTCTTCTCGTACGCGTAAGGAAACACCATACTTCTTCTCGTGGAACTCCCTACAACCTTGCCGCTCCTAGTTTCCATCAGCCGAGGAATTTTCTGAATATGCGAATACGTCGAGATGTCCGAACGATTCTCCTTGATGTCGTTCGAGCTCGTCGACGACAATTCCTTCGTCTCTGGATCGATCAGCGGTATGTACTTCCTCTCGTCTTTCCCCGAAACCTCTTCAGAATTGTTTCTAGAGCCCTTCACAGTCGCACTCTCCTCTTGAATCACCTCGATCTGCTTGTCAGTGGCCACACGAGGCGACGTAACTTGGTGGGAAATGTTGAAGGGAGCTTCCTGTGCTTGAGCATCACCTTTGACCCTGATTGGTACCCAATCGTCCACCTGTGGCTTGAAAGTAGTGCTCTCTGGATTGTTCTGCGTGGACCAGTTGTACTGGACATGTTCCCAGTTCAGAGACCTCGATACGTTGCTGTCTTTCCTCGAGAGAACTGCGTTCAGAGTGGTGGAAGGTTCTATAGGCACCCATTTGTCGTTTTCCGGTTCAGTTTGAGTTGAATTTGACAGAGTCTTCTCTGGATAGACCGCTTCGACAAGCGCAGGCACTTCTACCGACGTAGCACCAGAGGAATTCTCAGTTTTCGTTTCTTCCTTGATAGCAAACTCAGTTGTTCTGCTGTTAGCACTCTCTTCGTCTCGATTTTGTCGTTCGAAGCTCTGATCGGTGTCCGTGGTTAACTCTGTTTCCTCAGACCCTCCTTGATCCTCTGAGACGATCTCACCCAAGGGTGGAAAGTACTTGGGTTCCTCGTAACGCGATCCAGTGACGAAACTAGGCGTGTATTGAGAAATGAGCGGAAGAAGCGTTTGTCTCGCGTATCTTTCCGCCTGAGCCAAGATTCCGGCCAGTCTCTCGGGCAAAAATTGCACGGTGAAGCCTCTGGTAGTCGGAGAAGTCTCCTGAATCTCGTCCTTCTGGTTCTCCCGACTGTGAACTTCGTTTCTACTGTTCTGTCTCGCCGAACGTGGCCGTAAGATCGGCTCGGTGATCTCTGGGAACTTCAGAGACCTGCCTGTTTCCTTCTTGTTCACCTGTAACACCGGTTCTCGGATTTCCGGCAGGAACTCCGTCGTTGCTTCTACCGAGGGATCAGGCGAGGGAGTTTTCGCGAAGAAATTCGATCCAGAGAAGCCTCTGCCTCTCTCTGCATCCGGGTTCTCCAAAGAATTCGAGTCTCCGTCGGCGGATATGTCGACGATGTTCCAAGGATTGGAAGAACTTGGACGACTGCCTGTGTCTTCGAAGTTGTTCGTCTTGAAACTTTCTTTCCCCTCCATTACTCTGAGATTCTGTTCCTTGGTGAACGGACCCAGGCCCTTTGACGAGGAAGGAGTTCTGTCTTTAGAGTAAGTTTCCACGGAGAAACTGTCCTTCGTTTCGTAGTTCTGCTCTTTGGTAAATGGACCGATGCCACCTTGTTTCTCTTGCAACAGACGTCCTAGGACTGGTGACGTTGAATTGTCTGCTTCTGTGGGGACGTTGCATTCGCCAGCGAATAGGGGAAGAAAGATGGGTTTGCCGGACTCTAGGCTCAAGCCTTTCCTGCACACGGAAAGAGTTTTCCCGAAGCTGTCGACGATGGCCACTTTGTCGATGCTCCAGGACACTAATCCTGAGGAGATCCAGCCGCTGTACGCTGTGTATTTGATCTGAAACACAAAGAGCGACAGGTTAAATTTCCTCGTAACGTAATTAACCCTTTGCACTCGAAATTCTTTTTATTACGGCGAAGTAGCAAGCAAATTGGAGCTTGTTTGCTAAAATATTCGTGAGATTTTTTCAAACTAACGTAGAAATAATTGTAATTAACGAGGGGGTCGACGTGCTTTAATTATAACATATGAATATGATTAAAGTATGAAATGAAAAATAGGATATGTAGATCCTATATGCACTTCCATAACACATTTTAACTGCACGTCGCATGACTTTCTCAAAGAAAATTCGCATTTTCGATTTTCACAATTTTCTTTCCAAGTCGTCAACGTCACTTTCAGTTTTTTTCTACATAAAAGCAGATATATCGTAGAAAGAGCTAAGCAGTCGTCTATTTTTCGTCTACGCAAGTGTATTGCATTTCATACCATTTTGAACACAGCTTCAACATCCCCCAAAAAATAGATTTTCTTCACAATTAATTATTTCCCAAAGTAGAAAACAACAAGGCTTAAACCCGTCTTCGTCTAGTTCCTACCTCGATAGCCTCCAAACTGAAAATTGCAGGGTGCGGAACGACGATCTTCTGCAGAACAGATCCCACCAAAAGCTCCTCGTCCTTACGCGTCATCGCGAAACTGTCGTTGAAAGCTCCCTCTCCCACCATAGTAACTTGCAGCTTGCCGTAACTCCTGGTAGGTCTTTCACCTCGGCTGTTGTACACCTTAACTTGGTACTGATGAGCGCAGAAAGGCTCTTCCTCCCTGGTGACTAAGTACAATTGTCCTCTGGCAGGAGATTCGTCGCTGTAATAGCCCATGTCGCCGCAAGCTCTGCCCATTCCGCTCACTCCGCAGGGGAAACACTCTCCGCGAAGAAGACCGTCGTAGCCGTTGTCGCAAGGAAAGGCTGGGAAGCGACATTTCGGGCTGACAGAGTCCGTGAAGAGTTTGTACGCTCGTCGATGGTTGCACAAGGATCTACCCTCGACTGCACTCGCTGCAAAAGGACATATTCGGTGAAACAACTATCTACATCAATACTCAACGTGTCTTTAGGCGACACTTGACGACGTGTGTACCACCAGGTGACCCGCTTTCTTTCGGGCGAAGAATTCGATCCGCGTTGCGGAGAGAAGGTAACACTAGCCCGATACTCGTGAAAAGATCGCGGTGTACTCTCTAATCTCTGATTTATCGAACCCCTTCGATTAACAGCGTTTGTCGACATAGAAAGGGGAACGTGCTTTACTTACACCAGATGATATCGGACACAGCGCCTAGGAAGAGATTCGAGCAGCCTGTCTGCATTCTGCCGCCGTTCGGGTAGAAGTCCACGTCACCCATAGGCTGCCAGGAACCTAATCCACCCAGCAACAGCTGTTCACCGTTGCTGTGTATCACGTCCACGAAATTTGCATCGGTTTTGTCGAGCCGGGCCCGTGGATCCTGAGTTTCGAACAACGGTCCGGCAGGATCCAATCCTGCGAATGATCGTTTTCGTTGAAGCTTTCGATTAGAAAGGATCCGAATAAAGTTATATTCGGAAATACGAACGGAGAATCATCGTAGCGTGTGAACGCGAGCTTTCCAACGACCATTCTGTTGCACAACGTGGTTATCGTCGAATTAAGACAACGTCGGGTTGATTAAGAATCGAAAGTTCAACGCTGGATCCTTGAACGAACGCGCGAAGGAAAATCGTAGAAAACGAAATTCACCCGGGCTGGCAAGCCAGCAGAACGGAGAGAAGAATTTCTCGAAAGGTGGGGACTTGGATCGATCCGGGGCTCGAGGAGTCGTTGACGCGTGGAAAACGAGGAAAATGTGAAGGAGACGGTGTTAGAAGCCAGAGGCTAACTTTTGCACAAGTCCTCGTTACAGTTTCCTCGGTGAACGGTAGATCGATTAACACATCGATCGCAGAGGGTTGCCCAATCCTTCGTCTTCCTCCGAGCCTTTCTCGATTCTTCTCTCGCGGTTGCTGCAATCGAGCCTCGAGCCTTTCCACGTTTCCTCATTTCAATAAATAATCCGCGAAACGCAACGGAATGCATAAACTTACGTTTCCACCTGGGCGATTAACTCATTTGCTTGTTACAGTGAATCGAGTATTTTCAACGATTTCGTAATTAGGTTAGGTTGACGCAGACCGATTGCTTGGACGTGTGGGAAAAGAAGTTCGATCGTTTCCAGTGGTTAATAACGAATCGCGACTGCGTTCTCCGGGTAATTGGTGGAAGGAAACGGGTCCCCTTTTACCAGTGGGAGTGTACCTTTCGAAGGACAGCGACATTGTGGCTATCGGTTGCACAACTGGAGCGCGATAACTGCGTGTCCAGGCGAGGTGAGCACAGAGAGCAGAGGAAAAACGATAATCGTCGTACCTGTGATCCTGGAGACGTTCGCTAACTCGGCGCCAGCGAATCCAGCGACGTGCGCACCTAGACTGAACCCGATCAGATGAACCTTCTCCAATGGTACGTTCAAACTTCGAATTAGTTTGGCTAATTGTCGGCCGACGAGACGAGTGTTGGCCGCTGCCCTCACGTAGTTGGGAACTGCGCTTCCTGGACCCCAATCGACGCACACTGAAAGTTCAAGCTCGTTGAAGAGCAAAGTCAGGCTGATATGACCGATTGTTTGGTTCTTTAACCCATCTGCATCCGTAAGCGGAATATTCCGCACATGACGATCGTCACCTATCACCAAGCGTGGACTATTCAGGCAAACCATATAAGAATATGGGTGGATTGATGTTGGCGGTGATGCGGGCCAACTGTCAGTTGAACGCCGCTGATGTCTGAACTCAGTAGCATAGAGTCGTGATGCAAATGGGTTAAAGAGTTCTAGAGGTTTTATGAAATCTCGAATGTACAGGAAAACATTGCGAAGGTTTTTTTGGGAAGAAAGAGGTGGTTCTAGAGGTTCTATGAAATCTCACAAGAATTACTCTAATTTAAAATACTTGGACACAGCCGCGTCGGTGTGTTTGAAGTTGTGATCGATCGTTCGGTTTTTTAAAGATGTCTAGAGGACATTGTCAAGGAATATTGTTCTTTTTTTGGGAAGAAAGAGATGATTCTAGAGGTTCTATCAGAACGTTGTCAAGGATTGTGTTTTTTCTTTTAGGAAGAATGAGCACTGAGAATTCTTGGCAGTGACGCGTCGGTGCATTTGAATTTCTGATCGATCGTTAGTCTTCGGGAAGAAGCGAATGATTCTAAACGTTCCATAAAATCTCAAATGTAGAAGAAAACGTTGTCAAGGATTGCCGTAATTTTTCATTCGATACTTTGTGCAATTATCGTCACGGAACCGCCATTTACGGTAACCACGTTCGCCAAGAACGATCTACGAACCTATATTACATTCGTGCACCGTCATTAACGCGGACCTCATTTCGTACACCCAGACGTGATCGCAGCTGGACCCGAATCCGTGTACGATCACCTTCGTAGGTAGATCAGGATCTATGGCACGGTGTGCATTGTCGTTTATATCGTCGGCAAGAACCTCCATCGGGATCGATCTCGCCTTTCTGCTGCCGTACACTAGAAATCTGTAACCACACGGATCGAGAGCGGACAGTTAGCCGTGCGTTTCACCGTATTTCGATACCTTTAATTAACAACCATTTCAACACCGTACTCGAACAACCAGTACCGATCTTAATTAAACACCGATTCCATATTAAAACACGTGGGAGAATGTTGCAAGGTGCGCGCGAGGCTTGTTAGCGGTAACTAGGTTAATTCTAAACAAATATTTGTTCGGTATAATTCGCCTAACCGAGCCGTCTCTTCTCGTCGAAGAGAAATGGAAATTGCGAAGGTTCACGTGAATTTCTTCCTCGAGTAAAGGCATTATTTTATCTACTTTACAGGCGCAGCTGCGCGCTCTTATTTCTGCAAGAAGCGTAATAAAGATATACAGGGTGTCCTAATTGGTTTTTATCAAACTTCCACGGTATATTCTACGAGCATTAGTAAGAAGAAAATGTTATACGAACATAGGTCTTTCGAAGCTTCCTTAAAAAGTTACAGCAATAATATAAAATAAAAAGAGAGTGGGCCGAAATATGAGTAAATTAAGCCTCAAACGACCAATGTCTATGTAACATTTTCTCTTTACTCATACTCGTAGAACACACTGGCAAAGTTTGATGAAAAGAAAAATCGGGTCACCCTGTATATTCGCTAATACGGAATATGTATTTCTTTCTCCGCGATATCTGAACGCTGCGCCATGCGAAATAACGGGAATGAAACGCGAAGAAAACGTATATTTTACCGGGGAAAAAGGAAAAATAGAGTGCAATTGCGATTGTGAACAAAATTCAGCCGAGAAATCTGGATCCGGAATGTGGATAAATTGCAATTCATTAAAAAAGAAAAACAAAGAAACAAGAGAGAACTGTATTTCTACTTTCATACCTGGTGCCGACGTCTTTGGGGGGCGACGGGAGCATCTCCAGGTAGCTGAAGGGTCCGGTGTCCTCGAAACAGCCGACATCCTCGTAGCAGACCTTGGAGACTTCTCTCTTGGTCCTGTGATGCAACTGCTTGTGCAACGACCATTGTTTCATCGATTCGACCACCGCTCGAAAGATTTCGGCGTCGTTCTTCTCGTCCGCGGACTCGTCGAGGCGCGTCGGCCATTCTTGCGCCACCGCGGGATCTCCTGTGAAAGTGAATCCTTCTAACGCACAATTCCAACACCTCACATTCGTACTTTGAAACACCGCCACGCCAGATTTACAAAAGTTCTCATTGTTCTAAGCATATTATCGTTATTTTTTGGAATTAACACGTTCGATGCCGGATAAATTCTGCGTAACTTGTCCACGGCGCCGAAATGAATTTCTTTTTAATACAGCGCACTGCGATATGCATAAATAATACGTCGACAGTGGGAAATAGAATTATTTAAATAAAATTTTACAAATGTCACTATTTATTCGAATTGAACGCTTTTGCTAATTCTTCGAACAAGCGGTATGTTCGAGAGTGGTGGCGCAGGATTGTCGCTGGTTCGGGTTGTTTGCTGGTATGAAGTCGCGGTGTGGTGAGGTTGCACGTATTTTATTATGTTAACATGTTCCGTGCCGCGTGGGTCGCATACGCCCCACTCTGGACTTTCCGTTCAGGCCATTTCATATTTCGGCCTTTTCCTTCCGCTGACTTAAACTCTGCAACTACGGCGATAATTTGTTGAAACAAACATTTTTCCTTCGCTCTATAGCGTATCTTTCTCTCGATAAAACAATGATTTTTGCAATCTTATAAATATTCGAAGACGTATAGGGCGAAAAGCAAAACTGTGGGGCGCATACGACCCACGCGGCGTGAACGGAAAGTCACCGAAAATCGGTCCGGCGCGGAACGTGTTAAATGAAAAGGACTTTATTTTGAAGAGTGGTAGTTTATGCGGTGTTTGTCTATTTTCCCTTTTTGATCTGATGTGCGCCGCGTTGGTGCGCTTATTTCTAAAAAGGTTTAGGGGTATAAGGTGGTGGTCTCCGCCAATGGGAACGGGTCTACCCCCTTGGACGGTCCTCCCTGGCCCGCGAGCATGCCGCCCACCCTGGAATTTCCAAGTTGGGAAGGTATACAGCCCGCAGAAAAGTTATTTTTCTGCAGCCATAAAACGCTTCCTGGGCTTCGTGGCCAATTTGAAAGAAAAATTAATTAACGCGAAGAAGAAAAGGGGCGCGTTGAAAAATAGCGTAAACAGGCGTCCATAAACCCAATCCCTATCACTAATCTTGGCACCGCCGGTCACCGACGACCGTCGTGGCCCCGTTGAGGAAACTATACCAACGCGGCAGTGAACGTGTTAAACGAAGATAATTGGAAAATTGACAAACGTTCGCTTCATTCAGGATGGATACACAGCGTGTCTATAAAAGAATGCACCTACTTCTCTTTCTTCCTCAAAGTAATCGGTGTGGGCATGTAACGAGCACTGGTTGCAACTCAACCGCGAAAGTTTCACTTGATATACAGTCCGTGTGTGTGCACGCTGTTATTGCAAAGTGGCACCGATTAAAGAACAAAAGAAAATGTTCGTTATCGCACTTCAGTTTTACGAAGAGTAAAAATATCCAGTCTCTGTTTCGAGAGGTGATCTGTACTTTTGCGATAGGAAGCATCGTCGCACCACATCACGAGGCTGAAAATAAATTTTTCAACAGCATACATCTACACCAACTCGCTGTACGTTAAATCTTCTCGCTCGGTGCTCTCGCAGTCAACGTTTAAACTAGAAATAGAATGCGAGGAGTTAACGAAGCAACGAACTGCGAAGAATTATCCAGCTTTTAACGTTCATTCGAGCGAGGAACTGTGAAAACGTCTAACAGCATATTCCTCCTTGTGTGCACTCTAAAATAGCTTTTAATTCTCACGTGTAGAAATGCAAAGAGTCTCGATCGTTCCGCGTCCTGTTCTCCAAGCCCTCCGGCAGATACACCACGTCGAACCAGTTTACCAAAACTGGTGCGTCGGACGTATCGGCTATTTTATCGAACGATCGAGCATCCTAATTGTTCGGAACCGAGGAGGAAATGAAAACGAACCACAAAGTCTGGCGGGACGCTCCACGCACCGCGGACCAGATTGATAGATTCGTGCAAAGCTTCGTAACGGTTTCCTCGGCTCGTTGCACCGTTATTAGCATAACGCCTGAATAACAATCTCCTGGAACGCGAGGCGATTCTTTTTTTCTGGCCCGAGACGCGCAGGAAGACACCGATAAAACTCGAGGCGAAGTAAGCCACGGAGAGGCCCCGCTTCCTTTTTCTCACGGAGAGGTTTCGTTGGATCAGAAATTCAACGATCGAGACGTTGCCCAGCGTCGAATCGAAAACCTGCCCGACAGAGCCGTCTGTACTCGTGTTCGCCGATAGTCGTGAGAAGGGAAAGTTAGATGATCGATAAGTCGAACCCGCGCGCAGCTTGTCGGCCAGGAGCATTAGAAAATTGCTGGTAAAACGTCGCGTGATTTATCGACACGTGTCCGCCGCGGAAGGTGTAATTAGAGTTGGACGAGGTAGCAATCGAACGGATCAGAGGACACCTTGGGAGTATCGCGAGGATGCTGGAAGCCTTGCGTAGCCTTGCGCCGAATATCGCGGACCGATTCTATCGCGGTGATTTTAACTGTAAAGTGATGATAATTCATTTGTGTGTTAAGCACGAGGAATTCTTTAATCCTGTCCCGTACCGTTAGGAAAATTGCTACTTGTCAACTTGTTGAATTTACGGCGAGAACACGGAGTGGAAGTAAGGTTGATCAATTTTTTAGTCTGACTCTGTTATCTAGTGGGTTGGAACGAAAGTTCGTAGCGTTCGTCCGTCAGAAAGATGACAAATTACGAAATTGCCTGGATGATGGCGAAAGATTGTGATCTATGTATGAATACCTAAACATCGTCTAATAAAAGAAAAATGCTTCTTGACCCTGTAGCAGTTGTCCCAAGAAAATTAGCTACTCTCAAATAAATTAGCCTCTCTGTCTGGTTTAATTTGCAGGAATGTGGTTTCTGAGAAAAATCAGCTTGTAAAAGAATATTTAGCCCACCCTTCATACTCTCATAGGATCCTTCGCGCAATTCCCTGCCTAAGGTATCATTTCTTCGTGAGAAAAATTAAAACATGAAAATTGCTACATGTCGCTTTTGTCGAAATTACGACGAGAAGAGCAAAAAGTGGCTTCGAAGTAACGTTGGTCAATGTTTTATTCCGACTCAATTATCTACATTAATAAAAGAAAAAGAAATGCTTCTTGATCCCGTAGCAAGTTGCCTCGAGTGATTACACAATAAATTATCCTCCCTGTCCATTTAATTTGCAAGAACGTGGTTTCCGAGAAACCAGCTTGCAAAAGATTACTCAGCCCACCCGGTATATTCTCGCAAGATCCTTCGCGTAATTCCCCGCGGCCTAACGTATCATTTCCCCACGGGGAAATTTAATAGACGAAAATTGCTACACGTCAATTCGTTGACATTACGCCGGGAGGAGTAAAAAGTGACCTTGAGGAAACCTTGATCAATCTCCCTTTTCTAACTCAATTATCCTCCATCCTCGGAGGATCCTTCTTCGCTCTTCGAGAGCAACCTGTGGCTCTCTGTGTGACCTGAGATTGCAGGTAAAAGAGTGAACGGTTGGAGATTTCGAGGAGCGTCACCTGAACTTACGACCTATATCCACGGAGCAGCGTAGAAAGAATACGGCGCGAGACAAGGATCGCGAGTTATCTCGAAGAATAAGCCGCGGCGAAGAGGAAGGAGGAGAATGAGGGGAACCAGTTCTTGGGCAACGGTTTCTCGAGATCTCGGGAGATCCGTGGAATACCAGACGCTGCGAGTAACGAACGGCTGCGACGTTAATAGGATCGTCCGCGATAGGAAACGATCGTGAAACTCGGAGCGACGTCTACGGGGGCGGGACGCGAAGCGACTCGGGAGGAGAGAAGAAAATCAGCCGAAGAAAGTTGCCGGTGGTTATCGACGAGTCGCGTGGGTCAGCCGAGATAAGAAAGAGAAACTCTTTTTTTCTTTCTTGTTTCCCTCGGACGATTATCGCGTCTCGAGATCGGAAACGAGCGGAAGTCTCGTGTTTTGCCGCCATTCCGCCAATTTCAGGCTTCTTCGCGAATAGTATTGTGTACTCTTGTAAGTAGGAGATGAGGAAGAGTTCGAGACACTGATTTCCTCGTTGTTGTTTGCTGCTTTGGATGGAGCCCTCGATCCTGCGCTCACGAGGAAGGTTGAGGCGGGATTTTCTGTGTGTCAGACGCGAGAAATTTCGTTGCGTCTGACGTGTATAGGAAATCCCGCCTTTAGGCAACCTGGAAGCTCGAAAAATTACGAAACCTTGCGTAGAGGTAAAGTGAGTCGGTTTTAAGGGGTGAAACATCAGCCATTCTGTGCTCGAATGTCTTTAGACTCGCTTCAACTCTCCTCTATAACGTGATACTTCTCTTTCCGTCTTCGTCATCGCCTAATACGATCGTAGATGTCTCCATCTCGAACGAGCTCCGAATTGTAGGAGCCAATGAAAAATTGAAGAGACCAAGAGAAAATGGAATCCTCGATAGAGACTCTAACCTTCAATAGCCAAGGCTCCTTCGTTCTCACGCAGTGTGCTCTTGAAATTCTCGCGCAAACTGTACACTCTCCTCACGAAATAGGCAGATTGGAAAAGACAACGATCTACCAAAGTTAAACTCCACTTTCATTCCGCTCCGCCGTTTTCTCGCCTTCCTGGAAGCCGCCCGGTCGCGCCTAATGCCGCACAATTTTCTCCAGACATTTCTCAGCGAGGCTATAAAAGTACGGGTGGAAAAATTGTCGCACCCGCACTACCGATAGCTATCCCGCGGATGAACCGACCAGACCAGACCAGACCAGACCAGTCTGCCCCGATGGAGAAATTGGGAAAAAGAAAGCCAGCAGCCCGAGGGATCGGAGCCGTGAATGGTCAGCTAGATCGCGGAGAACGGCTCGAGTCGCTCGGGTTTTTTGTATCCTCGTGAACACGAGCTCTCGGTCTGGGAAAAAGAGCGCGGTCTCGGGAGCAGGGAGAGGCATGGAAAAGGGAAATCAGGACTGGCTGGTATGTGTGTGTGTCGTGTCTCTGGGGCAAGCGTGTTCGCTCGTTGAAAAAGCTGGTCTC